ATCTTGAAAATAGTTCGTGGTACCCGCTGTTCACCTGACTCGGACTGTCCAGCTGACCCCGGCAAGCTCGGTGGTCGAGTGGTTAAGACATCTGCACTACTGGCAGGTAGTAAGCAGGAGGCAGTGAGTTCGAGTCCCACCCGAGCAAGCTTGTGAATTTTTCGCAAGCTCTCGGACAAGCACTGAGCATGCAGTGTTTATCAATATAAACCCATTATATAAATTAACATCTCCTGAACACAAAAATAAGATACATCTTGAAAATACAGAGGTGTGTGTTATTTTTACAGAGTAAATGATTTACTCTACAGCCTCGTACAGGTCATGACAGGTGGTAAAAGTTACCCATGTAACAAGGACACCGTCACAAATTGTGCCCCAACCTCATGGAATTAAGCACCCAGCTACTAAGTACCAGAATACATGAAGTAGGCCCAACATAAATTGCAGATTACGCGAGGCCAATCATGTCCAACTCTTTTGATTATTACATTAGTCAGGATGTGATAATTCATTACTGGGTCTTTGAAGTCTTTTTCTTAATTCTTCTCCATTCCCACGTACAGATGCATAACGAATGGAACTGCAATGTGATTAGTATCAAGTCATGCCGCAGAGAATTTACAACTTGGGTAGGCCTATGACTATACTAGTTAGTAACTTGCTCGCTTAGTTGCAACATCTGCACACAGGCTTACAGCCCGGATATATACATCATGTACATGTATCATCACAGCCCTCTCCACTCAATGATGAAATTGCTACCAAACATGAAAACACAGGCACCAGAATAGATGACACAATTTTTTAGAGAGAAAATATCTTCTTTGACAAAATACCTTTTATGTGTAAGAGTTCTGGATGATTTTGGCCGGGTTTTCATCGCCAAATCGTTATGGTTGCACACCACAGCTATCACGAGGTTCAGGAATTCTGCCACCAGACAATGAAATCTCCAAGGGTGTCGTGTCCTTTCCAAATGGCGTTGTTTATCTATCTCTTTCCTTTCTTACAACTATCAAATCCACCAGATTTTGCCCCGAATTGGTGGTACAATCTCTAAAAAGTTCTCCAGGCGTTGATTGCAGGGGGAGGATGCGTATTTCGGGGCAGTTTCTGATGTTTTTTCTCCCCACGTCGCGCCATTTTCGTCAACGTTTCTCTTTCATCATGTCTCATATGTAAATTTACTGGAAATGCAACATCGCCACAGCATATCAGCTGCGCAATGACGTCATGGAAACCTCCATTCAACTTAATGGGGGAATTCGGGACCCTGCTCGCTAGTTTGGCGTATATCTAAAGACACAATTTTATTAATTTAATTTATTAATTACTGTTGGCAGAAAAATAAAAAAATCCTTGTAGAAGTGAATGTGGTGAGTACAAAATTAATCTAACGATAATTGGCCTTACTTATGAGATTTAAAGAAATACGCTTGTTTCAGTGATGACAAATTATTAAAATCCCGAAATGGACATACAAAAAAGTGATAACTGAAAGTCCGGCTAAAAATGAGAGCGACTCGGCTATTTTCTTTTAAATTATTCATTTTATGATGGTTTAGATAAATAGCAAAAATTTACTAGAGGGGAAGGGGCTGCCATCGTGACAATAAGAAAAGCTACCATTGATGTAAATTTTCATATCTTGTGATTCCTAAGTTGTCACATGGCTTACCTTTATGCGCAGCTCTCTGAAATAGGACTGCAAAAGAAATTCGAGGGGTTATACTATATACTATGTATATTTCAGATCATGAATATTTTTGCTTATATCCTCAAACTAAGTCCTGTAATTTATTTTCTCTTTTCAACAAAAGTTATTATGTGAGTTCATTTTGAATTTTGAAGATTAAAATAAATAAATAGTGTGACGTATTAGTATATGTGAGTTTGGTTTGTATTTTTGCCCGTCCTCGAAAAAAGATTACAAAAACTGAGGCTGATGACATTTTAATCAGCGGCCTAAACTTCATCGCAGATTTTTGTTTTGGTCTTCAACAGTTCCATGAAATTGTTCATTTTATAATAAAGGTACATTGACTCTAGAAATCGGTCCCCTAGTTATGAACTATGTGAGCTTAGCTCATATTTTGTCAGATTCGCACTGGATTTGGATTTTCGGCAGAGGCTGTCGGTTTGGAATAACCTCTAATCCTATCCGACGTACATTTTTAGATTTCAAGTGCTTACATGCTTCAGCTGACGGAGCCTGTGCGTTCTAAGATTCGGATTTGACGTCCCGCTCCTCCATACTGTGACACGAAGCTGGAACCAACTTTTGTCCCTCAGAAAAAGTGACCCCCGTGAATCACAATGAGCACTGCCCCGCAACAGTCTCTAAAAATACACGTGCTCGATACACAGATAGTATGAATATTCATTAAAAACCGGAAACACAAAAGAAAATTTGATGAATATGCATGTTGTAGAAAGTACATTGTGTTCAGAGGCCGGAGTTCGTTACGTCAGCGTTTTTATCGTATATCATTTGCAAACAGGTGCATGATGAAGCGCTGTATCGGCATTTTGTTAAAATAAGCGCGCATGTTGTGGATTAGACACAATAGTCAGCAACACGTGGTACCCGCTAGAAACAGGTGAGGTCTTTTCCGACGAACATGAGACAGAAAGTTTCCGGATCCCTATTGTCTGCGTCAGGTTGGGCAGGTGGTCGACTGAACTACTGCGCAGCAGAATTTGGTGAGGGTACAAAAAGGCTGCAGTGGGGAACTTAAACTCTCGTGGGAGAGAAGGTTAGCGTAGCGGTTCATTCCCAGCTTTGCCCCAGGAATGAGGCCCGGGTTCGTGTCCCGCCTTGGCCCAGGCTTTAAGTGCATTTGGTTTCCAGTCCGTACTCGCTCTCGCAGGTTTTCGCCGGGTACTCCGGTTTCCTCCTACCTCTAAAACTGGACCTTCTTCCTAACTCCGTAATGTGATGCTGATCATTAATAAGGTGTATGAATAAACGTTCTGTAATTGGCGCAAATAGCCTGAGTTGCTGAAAGCGCCATTAAAACAAAACAACATAAACTCACGTGAAATGCCAAGAGTATGGACCCAAACACTGGCTTATGCATTTGACCTGGCTGAATTAAAATGTTGAACTGAAAAAAGTTATATTGATTGACGAAACGTTTCTCAGTCTCCTGAATTGCAATTGCTCACAGTGACAATAAATTAATATTGAAATGACCATTGCATGCTACTGTTCAAGTTGCAACAACATTACACCAAAATCATCCAAAGACATACACGGCATCCTATAGAAGAAGTATATTCTAAAAAGCGTCCAGCAATCGTTTCCCTACAACAGTAAAACTGGAATAAATTAAACACAACGATGAGCAATAAAGACGGCAAAGAAAGGTCTTGAAGGAATTGTCAGAAAAATGGTCTAATATTTATTGAAACATATCTGCCAAACGACTTACACAAATAACTTTGAAAGTTCATATGCGGCTACACAATGATTAAAACGTTTTCAAAGAGTGGCTTTAAAATTATTACTTATGTGGATTTGATCCTTTATGTTTATAATGGGGGGGTGTTTGTTCGTTCGTTTTCTATAAAAATTAGAGAGAACTTCGATGCGAACTTCATAGATTTCCATTCTACGGATCTAATTATATCCAACTTATTAAACCAAACTCAACTTGACTGCCTAATATGCATGGATCCCTGTTCACCCGGGGAGGGGCCCATATTTGCCAAAAACCAACTTTTTGTTGGATTGGATCGTAATTCATCCCCAAAAGACTCAGAGGTGCCTTTTTGGGAGGGGGACGCAAAACGGATTTTAAAAATGTCCATGTCTGATGATCAGTAAACAGTCTAGTAGCGTAAGCTGGTGATGGAATGGTTGCTATCCCCCATACACACACAGACCCAACGGAAACTGACAGGGAGGAGATGGAAACTTGTCGTATATCATTATTGAGTCAAATATTATTGAATCTGTACTAACTCCTAGATTTATTTTAGTTTTCCTGCCATATATTCCTCACAACCAATTGACAAAGCTATGTGCTTTGGAAAGATTAACACCCAACTGTGTTTTTATACATCCACCTTTCCTAAATCTAGATCCATACCTATGTAATAGGATCCCGCAGTAGTAAAATAAAGATTCGTGAATTTCTACAGAACTCCAAAATTGTACATAATTAATGCTAGTTGGTTGTAAACTAAAATAATGGGCTACTTTCAGTGAATAATGTCTTCATTTCGGATTCTATTTCATGAAATATTGTTGTGCCATATCAATCAATCATGATGTCATCATGATGACGTCCAAAGTCTTTCCCAATATTAGTAGGAATCGACACGCGCCCTCTACAAGAAATTTGCTTTTGTGATGGCTTAATCAATGCAGCTGTTTCGTAAGATGCAGTTCAATCATTAATTTTGTATGAAGTTTCATCTTGCCGTGGTTTTTAAATAGCGCCCTCACATGATATTGCTATTTTGCCTACGATCCACGTTGCTGTGCTGCTGTGTGTACCTGCTGTATGTAGCTCGTACTTTAGCAGTTTAATATAAGGCTTATTTTTCTCCTTATGTGAAAAGAGAGGATGACTAAAACTAGCTACTCTAAGGATTCCGGAAAAACAAAACCTGGAGGGCCTTATCATTCGAAGAAAATGATTGGAAACATAACCGAAGGTAAGAATGAGCGATTACGTATTCAGAAGCACGGCATTAGTTACGTGAAAATTAAAGCTTTAAATCATTGGTTCAATCGAAAATAAGCATCCTTCACACACAATTACTAAATTTATTTTGCAGAGGACATATAATTGATAATTTATTAAGCTTGCTCTGAGTGCAAAACCAGGAGAGCTAGGCTGAAAAGAAAATGGAAAAGCCAGAAGGCATGAAAGGTGATATTTTTACCTGTTTTTTTTTTTGTTTTGTTTGTCTTGGGCTGGGGGCGGAGTTGGAGATGTGTGAAGCAAAAGAGAGAAGACACGCCATAGCATTTTTTATTCAATTTAACCAGCACGGAGACTCTTACCCATTTTCTTTAACCAACACTATTTTTGTCCTTCTTGATTTTCAGGCCAAGGATATGCTGATAAACGGAAAAGAAAAGTTTTAAACTCGTACAAGAAATTGATACACAAATCTAGAAGAGCTGACTCAAAGATTGTTGCAGGCATTGCTCTGAGATCAACTGAAGATTCAGTAGAGGTAGAAGGACATCATAAGAAAAGGGCATTGTATACAAAGTATGTCAAACCTGTGGCCCAAGGTCTGAGACTTGTCATTTAAACTTTCTAAGCTACTGGTTGACTAAATTCTCTTTATATTTTGTATGGACCAGGAGGATTTGCATTTGATTGCTTTTTTGGAATTCAGTGTTGGAACGTGAATTACGTGAGGACAGTTTAACTCAAAGAATGATGTTGATTGATGCCTCTTTCCTTTGTTTGATTTTTCAGGAATGCAAAGGGACAAGTGCAAAATCCAAAGAAAAAATTCTCCAAAGCTAAACGTACAGTTCATTCCAGAGATGAGCAGGTGATGTCTATTAATCGATATACTCAAGCTGAACAGCAACGTCAGTGGCTAACAAAAGAACATCAACAGATTCTACAGGTATTAAACTCCAAGGGGAAATAAAAGGAAATTAATCAGGTTTGCCGTACTTTACATTTAAATCCTCAAAATCACTTTAATACATGCAGGGAGTAAATGCCTATAATAATTTTGAGTCTCCTTTGTTACTTAAATGTTTTGCATTTACTGTGCTCTTGACTTTGACCAACTCAATGGCACGTATGTAAAGAGTCCTATTTGAATGAACTACATTTGTACTGAAGGACTTTATGTACATGTACACAGTAAATGGTTTATTTTTCTTGCAGGACAGGAAGGCAAGACGGGAGGCAAGAGAGGAAGCTTTGAGGAGATATCGAGAGAAGAAAGAAGCACGTCACAAAATGCTGAGCAAACGAACTCCAAGAGGTCAACCAATTATTAAATATCACATGGATTACTTACTGCAAAATATAGCGTCACAAACAACATCATAGGATTAGCCAAATCAGTGTAGAGTGACTCATATCTTAATTGCTGAAGAAACTGAGATGGCCTGAGGTTGATGCCAGATGTGACTGAACCTTAAAACTGGACAAGTGCAGTGTTGGAAGCTGCATCCCTGCTTTTAAAGTTTAATATGAAATGTGGTTGCAAAGTTATCACAGTGACTTGTGAGCTAATGGCCAAGCTCTAACAAATATCATGTATCAACCGGAGTATCAGTTACGAGCTAATGGCCAAGCTCTAACAAATATCATGTATCAACCGGAGTATCAGTTACTGTGAGATGGAGCCGGTAGAAAAGAAATACAATGTATGCATCACCCATCCCCAAATGAAATTGAATTTAGTTGAATGAAGAAGGTATGATTATCAGACAGTCAAGCCTGATGAGACTGTAGGTTCCCACCTTCCAGTAGATGACAATCCAGGAATGCCCCTGCCATGGACTAGTCCAGGAATTGAGCGAGGGAGGCACGAATGATGGGTTCTTGTATAGTGTGAGGGCAGACACAAGCACGAAGGAGTGGATTTGTTAGGTGTAAGTACTCATCACTGACATCACTAGTTTATCTTTTTCACTCCATGCATGTCCATGTGTGGTTTGGGAGCAGAGGCCTATGGGGGGATAACTTGCCCACCCCCCTTTGACTTTTTTTTCAAAAAATACTTTATTGGTGAGTAGGAAAGAAAATAATCGGTACATTTATCAAACATTAGCACCAAAACCCTAAGAAAGCAACACCAGCAAATAAAAGCAAGGATGTTGGGACCGTGAGTAAAGCTGTTGATTTGACAATTCCCGCTAATGTCACAGTTTTTCGTAAATTGTTAATGGTTGAATAAACAAATGCAAGGCAGATCCCAAAACAAAATTTGTAGAGGACCACTTGTTTTTAGGGGAGCCCCACATTTGGAATATTTCTCATATAACGTCATTTCTTTACACTGTTTCTAAATATCTAGCATTTAGTCTTTCATTTCTTTTCTTTTTTTAAATCGTGGGTTGGGGGAAAGGTTGTTGTTTTTGCCCGCGCAAGATCGCGCTTGCAATTTAATTGGACACTTCTGACTCGGGCATGCTCAGCTGGATGTATGATGCAAAACCAAACCTAGGTACGTGTACGTGCATCCTTGCTACTTTACGTCTGTAATTCCAGGACCTTACTTTAAATGCAAGACTGCTCCAAATCATTGCGATTCTTGGTTTGTCTTTGTCTTGGTTTGTTCTTCGTGAAATGATCCTTCGTACATCCTCCGATTCATGAAATAAGCAATGTATCATGCTTATAGTTCTTACAAAATACGATTACTTAGAAGTGATATTACATTTTATTTTAAGTAAAGTGCTAAAGAACTAACGTGATTACCACAGCACTCATCGCATAATACTCTTTCCTTGCCTACTGTTGGTTTTTTGCATAATGTTGCTTCGGTTATTAAGCTTTGTGCAATGCCTGCCGTAAAAGCATTTTCTTTGTTTCTTGCACGAGGTGAGACACGTGTGAGACACAGTCTGTATGCAATCATGCCTTAAATGTCGTCTTAAAATCCATCAGTGAGATTCGATGGATCAACTCGTCGCTACGAGTGGAGTCTATAGACTTGGCGCCAGTCGTCTGAGAGATTGCCGAATCTTTCCTTGTCCTTTCGACTACTCTGGGTAAACTGCCAAAGGCAGACAATCTGTTTCCTTGATAAAAGATTACTAAAGGAAAACTGGTTTTTGTTCAGTGGTATCAATGCAAAAGTAGTATACATGTAGTTGAATTTATGCACGATTTATAAAATTTTCTTTAATAATGGCGAAGAGACTCCCCGCCATGTTACCATTTTTTTGCTTCTTTATAGCTGAAAATATACATTACAGAAATCTTAGAGGCATGAATTTAAACAAATCCTTGACATTATTTTGTCATAAAGCAGTTGTAATAACTAGGCATAAAACAGCGACTCATCAGCATGTGGAAAGTGGCCCTTTATTTGCAATCAAAGCGCTGCACAGACGTTTCGAAACATTCCACCTGTCAGCGTGATCGCACTGGATGCTTCAACATCATGTACATGTATTTGCTGTTATCTTTACTGTATTGCCAATGCAGTGAACCCAGTTATTTATGACTGCTTTTACTGTGATTGTTTTGTTAACTTTGGTTGTTGTAAGGTCTTCGTCGCAGTAGCATCCACACGGAGGTATTCTTGGATCGGAAATGTTGTTTCATGATGTAATGACGGAATGACCGATTGACAACTCTAGGACAGTAGATAGACGGAGAAACAGATTTTGTCACACATACCGGTTCGTCTGAAATTGAAACACGTTGGACTTAACGTTTCGCCTTGCGTCCACGTGTTCATAACATGATAGGGGTTGGGGTTACTTTGTACTTTTATAATTCCAAGCCAGATTTTGATTTGTTTCGTTTGGGAGAGGGGCTTGTTAGTAAATTCTGTTTTCTAACAAATTTGCGTGCGCTCATTATTTACAAAGATATTGTAGTATTAAGAATACAAGTTCAGGAATATGACGACTCTATTTTGTGACACAGAATCGGGAAATCAAAAGAATCAGTTTGCATGGTCACAGTGTTCATTGCTTCACCTTGTGATTGTAACTGTTTCATGGAATTGGGCAATGTGACAATTAAATACTGCAACCTGAGTAAATAGAAGAGTTGGACACTTGACAAGTTTGGAGCGTGTTAACCAAATCAACTCTTCTGTGAGTAAATCTTATCGCCGCTAGACTCACATGCCATAGGCTGTCATTGTGTGTGATTATTGGAAGTTCAGTTGTGCTTATTGAAAATGGAGGGAATTAGGCAAACATTCACGCTAGTCATGTCATGTTGTGATGATACTCCATCAGAGTCGTTGCGATGTACAAAGACCGAGTCTGTTTTATACAGTCTTAGGGATGTGACATGAATCTCAGGTGGTTGACTCAGATGAATTTTCATTGATGTTTACTTAACTACATGTAGTTTCAGCGTGGATAGGCGACATCTCTGGGCTCGCTTCGTTAAAAACAGCCAAACTGTTAATGTATTTGTTATTTTTACAGGGAACTGTGTTTCAAGTTGTTTTTCAATTGTGTACTGCATGTATTTTTCTCCTTCTGGAATTAAACCTCATTGCTTGTAACTGTGATCTAAACTTAATTTTTAAGCTATTAAAATAGTTTACCTGTAAGGTTAATCACAAATTAAATATTGAAATGCTATTTAAGACCAACCAACCAACCAACCAACCAACCAACCAACCAACCAACCAACCAATCAATCAATCAAACAATCAAAGGTTGCAAACAAACTGTCAGTGTATCCGCTCAAGAATTGGCCAGAAAAAGAGAGAACATCGGTAAATTTGGATAAATAGTGAAGAACAAAACGTGCCCGTTTAACCACGCGTTCTTGATCTTGATTGTTGTCAACTCGTCGACAGCCATTCAGATCGAGTTAAGCTTCTAAAGGATTCAGTTTACATTGAAAGTGCTGAACTTGAGATAATTTCGTGCTGGAGCTTTTAACATTTGACCTAAGTATGACCATTGATCCCATTAATTTAACCTTTGACATTTTTAAACACTTCTCGACAGTTGATTTAGCTGCATAACAGATAAGTGTAAAAATTTCTATCCCGTGCTTGAATGCAAACTTGTAATGTGACCCACAAATTGTAATCAAATCACTGAATCAAACACTGCCCGATCAAATATTGACTTTTTTCTTCCCTTAGTGTTTATTATTTATAAGAACCCTGCATTTTGTAAGAATTTTACCTTTTTAGCGTTTCATACGGCATTCACGTTAATAACAAAAACAGCTACCCTATTCAAGTTGCGCTGAACTTTGCAATGCGACCCTCTCGCGTAACCTGATGCTGTTGGCAGTTAACTAATTAAATTAAGTGTCAAATCAAATGACTATTGGTATCGAACTTCGTTTTGTTAGTCATTGGTGCCGAGTGTTTATCGATTCCTTGCATTTAGAAGGCAATAGTTATTGTGTACTAAAATTTAGAGTATAGTGTCTTTTAAGGTACAGCAAAATGTTGTTCTGGCTCAGTAGACACCCCCATAGTAACGCAAGGTGATTGAATAAATCATTGACACTTTTATGTTTGTCACCCAATGTGTTCCGAGAATTGACATAGGAAGGCTTCTTAATCCTATTTTATTTAGCTGAGCCATTCGTGTATTGCGCCCTCTCTGTCTAGACTTTCTGTTCACCTTCCCGTAGGCTATCAGTCTGTGGTATTTATGAGTTCCGCTAGCTGCATGTTATCTGTCACTTCGAACTGAAGCACTTAAGTGATGACAGTTTGATCGAAGTAAGTCAAGTATGCTACAAGGTCTGACGTAAATTGCAATCACAGATACCAAAGGAAGAGAAAATTTCCCAAACAATGTTCCATCCAGCTTCAGAATCGGTTGATATTCCTGCTAATGAAACAGTGGGTTTTCTGAAGGCAAATACAGGCAAAAACGGCCAACTATAACACTCTAGGGACAAACTCAGTGTCAGCCATACGGTCCTTAGGATTTGAAGTACTGGAGAAAGAGTATTATTTCGTGATTTATAGTTTTCCAGCCTGATATTATATTCATGAAATGTTTAGATATGTGTACAGGAGGTTGAACGGTTAATGGTGATAAGGTAATTAAGTTTGCTGAGGCTTGAACCATAAAACCACGATGGTTTATCAACGGGATTGGTAAAGGCTGGGCATGAAATTCGCTCCCCTATGTCTGATGGTCAGATTATCTACAGCTTAAAACATAATGGTGCATGCGCAAAGAGGAAAAGCTCTACGAGCTCAGCATGTCTGTGCGTATAGATCACCTCGTCATGTGACCCGTAACATAACATAACCCAGCAGTGTAAATTCCATTTCTCCTGAGCTCATTTGCATGAAAAGTTTATTTTGAAATAGGGAGATTGTTTGGCCGAAAAAATGGAGGGATTTGGTAAATATAGGTCAGGATCCACTCCCTGGTTTAAGGGGCTTCCATCTGAGGGCAAAGTTGTCAAATTACTGTTGACTGATAAATAAATAAATAAATGCCCCAAAAGTTGGAGGGATATCGTAATAGAAAAATGGCTGCGTGTTGGCTTGTGAATTATCTCTTTTCGAGAGGTGAGTTTGTGTTGTAAGAAGCTCACGCCAAAAATTGAAAAGAAATTGAAGGATTAAGGCGAGACAATAATTAAATTTTGTTCGAGAAACTCCACTAATGACGACTTATATGTTATTAAGCCCAGAACATTTTAAATGTTACACTGTTTTCAACGGGGCTATAGTGCATTTTTACCCTTGGTGTTAGCATTGAGTTGTATAACGAACATGCGCAGTATAGACGTGAAGTCCATGATTCGTGGCAGCCTACAGACGCTGGTTCTTTCCTCGTGGCGCATAGCCAGAGGCCTTTGGTTTTTACCATTTGTTTGGAAGGGTAACACTGAATAGATGTGAGAAAAAAGGAATAATGTACCGGCGAAATGTTTTGGAAGGTGTAGTTAGTTGGAATTGTTAAGTATCAGTAGCCGATAATCACATCCTTGAATGGGTTAAGACGGAAACCTAAAAAGAACAGTCAACTTATTTTAAGCCTCCGTGGGAGAGTTTGGTCCTGCAATTATAGATTTTCGCAGTCAGTTACATCTCTTGCCTTCTGGTCATTAATTAACTTTAATACAAGGTCGATATAGCCATTTGTGGATTATGATGATGCCAAAAATTAAAGGGAGATCGTGGCTTTAGAGATTAAACGTTTTGGAATAAGTTGTTACTTTTTGCCACATGAGTTGCGTTTACATTTTGTTATCTATTGAATTTGCTGCCTCTCATAATGAAGTAATGCATGTGTTTGCCCATTAGGCTCATACCGTGACTTAGATTACAACTTCAGATATTTTGTTATTTGATTTGATCCTGTTTTAAAATGTGGGGAGTTCAGTTGGAAAATCTACAATCATGAAACTTTGTACAAAAAACTAGTCTCATACGTAATATTATATGTTGTGTGTGCGTCTCTAGGGACCGTACCTCATGCTAATAGTAATGTTTAACTGACTAAACCTACCACGGGAAAATCAAAAAGGGAGGAAATCTAGTCCTCCCAGACCGCTGATTGACTTTAACGTGAGAAGATTAAACGGATTTGTATGACCTGAACTGGATTTTAAGGTATGATGTAGGTTTTTTATCCTACCCAGGGGCATGATGGAATCTTTAACCTCACTGATCCAAAGCTGGATTAAACAGGGCACATGCACCATTACTGTTGTTGATTGGGATCACGCAGTCTCAATCATTGTAATCACAGCCTCCCCAGATGGAGGAGCTACAACGGCTACACGTAAACTGTGAAACATTTTTGTATTAATCTTTGTCTGATGTTGCACGACCTCTGTGAACACCTTTCCACTCTACATTTGTGATAATGGTTGTCTTGGCATTTCCTCATTTCTGTTTAACCTGAACACCTCAGAAATTGCTTTTAGAAGTTAGGATAACATTCATTATGTGGATATCAGACATATCCGATATGTCCTCTTATACAATTGCGCTGGCAGAATATTTTCTTATCCTCCGTCACCATAGGTCCAAACTAGGAAGGCTATGCCAGTGCACGTTCCTTAACACGTGCTTGAGGCTTTTCTTTATATAATCCCACTCTTTGGATCAAACCAGCGAAATCACAGGCTTAGAATGACTGTTTCCTTTCGAGTAATTAGCGTTATTGTTGTGCGTCCTCCTAAGCAATATAGGCTGAAATACTCATTGCTTTGAGTGACTGAAGCTTACCATTGAACATTGATAATGATGACCTGATCTTTTCAAGCATGTGTTGTGGTTGTGCAAGTGTGTGATGAGATTTAGTTTACAGAATGTACTTCGTTCGCGACTTGGTAACTGTTTTGATAACTGTTACACCTGCGTACCAAATATCAAGTTAAGCAAGACTGCTATGTAATATGATTAGGAAGGCATTCCGTAGTCGTTATCTCAAACTGGATTGTATGCTCCGCAGATTTACCGTTTATATCGACTCGATACTGTGATGATATATGATAAGGGTCAGTCGAGCTGAGTTATCGCTGATATCTTATAATCCAACAATAATTGTAGTGCTGTTCTACCGCTGTGTAATGTAATTATGAGGGTTGTCAGTCCGCAGTGTTACGGTTTGAGGTGAAGTATCCAGGATAGAACCAGAGATTTATGACACCTGTATCCTGGATAGCTGTAATTAGTCTAGAAATAATTGAACTAACTATTATTTGCTGTCGCCAATGTTTCCTCTGTCGTTGGGGATGTGGTCAACTCGTGGAGATTACTCAAATACATGTATGTTAATGATCGACATTAAATCTTTCATTCTGTGGAAATCTCGTCTGAATTTGTTTTGAAGTGCTCAACTCAGCATATAGATGATTTCAACTGCAGTTTCGAATTTTGGTTGTTTGCACATGTCGAAGGTGAAAGCCGAGTCGAACAAAATTATTTACTTTGTTTCACCATCAACTGTTTCAAAGGCTTTCATTTTCAGAAGATATGTAATACAAAACTGCTGCAAACTGCTTGCTGGCGACAGTGACCTAAAATACAAACCACAAAATATGGAGGGTCTGACGTTTTCACTTTAAAAAGCTAATTACACGAAACAGGAATGACAAACTTAATTTTGGTTTCTTGATAAAGAAACTTGTCGCTCGTGGTATGCAATCATGTAGGGGGAAAAAGTACCAATACTCTAGCTAAAGCGCTATCATCCGTGATTTGATAATTGCCCTTAAAGTGGCAACAGTTGCTTAACTCGCAAACACCGCAAATCAAGTAATCCACTAGCAAATTCTAAAGAAAACTCTTTCAATTTCTCTCTAGGAGTCCACCAATTAGCTGCAGCCATCGGCAGTGGCTAGCTGTTTTGCGAAAGGAACGACCTTGTGTGTAATAATAAGGATGTCGCTTGCGTAGGAGCTTAACAAAAACATAGCTGGAATTAGTGAGCTTTGAGATGGGTTTGATGTCAATGGAAAACGAATTGGAACTAGTCTTAACCGGCTAGAAAATGGCGTTGCTTATCAAAAATTGAAAAGATTTGGGATTAACGACATTAATTCATCATGTGTTTATGGGCATGTCATCCGTCCTCAGTTTTTCGTTGACTTTTATTGCCAATTGGTTTAAGATTTTCACAGTAGGCAATTGGTCCC